TCTTCGCCAGCTGGCACTTCTCAGGGCCACCAGCCGTTCCGATGACCTTCGCACCGACGGCCTTCAGCACCTGCGTCATCAGGGTTCCCGCCCCGCCAGCCGCAGCATGCACCAGCACCCACTCATCCTTCTGCACAGGATACGTCTCCTTCGCCAACGTAAGAACCGTCAACCCACTCAGGAATGACGCCATCAGGCTCTCGTCCGTAATCCCCTCGGGGATCTTGATCGTCTTGGCCATCGGCACCGCCGTGTACTCGGCATATCCGCCAGTGCTGAGCCAGGCCACCCGATCTCCGACTTGGAAGTTGTAGGAGTTGGGGCCGTCACCCAATGCGACGATGGTACCGGCGCCCTCGCGACCCAGGATCTCGGGCTTCGCGGAGGGGTAGAGGCCTGTGCGGAAGTACGTGTCGATGTAGTTGATGCCGGAGATGTTGTTCTTCACGAGAACTTGGCCTTCCTTAGGCGTGGGAACAGGGTGGTCGGCCTTGAGTTCGAGGACTTCGGGTCCGCCGAGCTTCTCGACCAGGACGGCCTTCATGGTTTGAGGGACGGACATGGTGGTGAGGGTGCGGATGGGGGATGCGATGGGTGGGTGGAGGTGGGTGTTGATTGCGGAAAGTCTCTGAATCGCTGGGGAAGATAGTGTTAAGGTAGTAGTGGTAGTAGTGACGGATGGAATAGAGGATCGGAGAAGACGAGGAAAGACGCGATGGAGGGGCATTGGATGATTGGGGGTATTTCTAGTTGCGCGATGAGGGGTGGGACAATAGGTGGGTTAAGTATATCCGGATAGTCGGGTGGGGGGAAGGTGGAAGTTCTTCCCCCGGCTACGATTGACGGAGCTGGACAGTCCTGCTGGTTGGTTTTTTGCCGAAAGTGGACCGCGACTTGAGGCAGTCGATTCCCGTCATTTGAAGCTTGATTTTCTGCTCTTCTTCCCCGCAGTTCTTCATTATTCTGCGTTGCGTTTGCGGATATTGGGTCAGGATGTCCGATGCATCTCCGCACTGTATCACCGGGATCTGAAGCGGACCTTTCGGTCGCTGTTTGCTACTACGATTCCTGAATTTAGCTGTTTCAGCTATTCGGCAACTCTTTTCATACTCTCTGGCAATAATTCCAGAGTCCATAGAATGGCCACCTCTTCATCCGACGGAGTGACGCCATCGGCTGCAAGTCCGAACCGTCGGGGATATAGCTGACTAATGCCGGCTTCCTGCCGACGGACCGTGCCGTACACAGCTGAGTCAGGGTCTTCATAGCAACATTATACGTAGTGCGTAAATTCCCGATCGGGACATATACTCGTGCTTCTCCAGAAGTATTCCGGATTGTCTTCATCCTCCATCCATTGGGCCTTCACCCTCTTCATCCCTTCCGCGGACAACTTCATTATGCATCATCCAGTTCAGCCAGACAACTCAGCCCCCTTGTGTTACCGCCTCGCTATGCATATTGCCACCGTTTGCTCTTTCACCGTCTTTCCCACTGATGTCATAGCAGTGTCGCTTCCAACAGTGAATTGTATATCATTGGAAGCTACTGATCTCCCCAGCATCATCGGTCAGGGGGCATGCAGCTCATCCCAAAAGGTGGCACCAGTAGCTGATGACGCCCAATGTGCCGAGTTGCCCGGTATCCCTTGAGCGGAGGCTGTGTGGCTTTGCCAAAAGGCGTGTCGGGTTCACGACGTGCTGTGCCTACTGTATACTAGACCAACAATCATCCACGCCAATACTCGAAAGTGGCGCCTTTCCCGCAGACTAAAATCTCTTTCGCCCGTCAGCGTACCTAATCGGTCGACGGAAAGCGGGGATAGCGAATGAATGAATCTGCCAGCACAGGTTGTCCCACAGTCTGACAGACCACACTTGACCTCACCTGCATAGGGATGGGATGGTTTCATGAGCGACTCCTTGTTGACATGGCTAAAGGAGATCCATTCGTTCCCAACGCTTGATGTCTGGCCACGATCGCCATGTTTCAGGGCTAGCGGGATTGATTCGTTACCTGTTAACGCCCAATGTCTGAGCCCAGGCCCTGATAGGGCCACCATCCCCGGAGAGGCGCTGCCCGACCAGGTTTCCCATTGGGGTCTGTCTACTTTATATAGCCTCTCGAAAAATCCCTTCGCAACTCCCCCGATTCCTGGGGTGTGTACATCAGAAACTAACCTCTCCGTCGCTTAATACATAATTCTAGCCGCTCACAAAGGACCCCCAGGCCATCTGACTGTCTCATCTGCAAGTTGATTGACTGTTCTCTGTTCCATCTGGATCACTCCCGTGCCAATTGCTGTTTGCCGAACGCTCTTGTGTGTGTGTGTGTGTGTGTGTGTGTGTGTGTGTGTGTGTGTGTGTGTGTGCTATTTTTTCTTGCTCATCCTTTCGAGACCCTTTCTCGAGTGAGTCCGATGCTCGACGGATATATGATGCCAACTGCCCGGAAAGTATTTCTGATCCACCGTGCCACCGCAGGATAGCCCCCAGGACCGATACTTTCCCGTTGGAGCTTTGCTTTTCTTTGCTAAAAGTTCTTTGTTCTTCTGTTTTCATTACCAAATGTATTCTACCACCAAGATGAGCTTGCGCTGGCGCAAGAAGACCCACTGGCCGCCGTCGCCATGTGTGGAAGACGAAGCTGTTTCCCTCTCCCGCGAATTACACGGATCGTCCCAAATTGGAGAAATGCCCGGACTCGAAGGTGTTTGCTCCCGCGGAACCGTCGACCAATACCCAGTCCTTGTGGATGTTTTCTCTTACTCTTCATATGAGGAGACGACCGTCATCTATGAGGACTTCAGCCGTGACAGCAGCTCCGAGGACAACGTAGGGCCGCCAACCCCGGTGGATGAGAAACAGGACCCGATGCTCTACCTTGTCGGGGATGACCAGGCAGTCTCGTTGTCCGCGCCACTTGCAAGTCGAGAGAAACCCCAGGACCAACCTAAGAAGCCAGCTGTTCAGAGGCAGGACTCTACGACGCGAGGCCGCCCCAGGGCGGATACTAGAGCCCAGAGAGACAGCCCGCCTAAGAGGGATACAGCCCAGAGTTCCCGGAATGCCTCGAGAGCTTCGAACATACGCACCCCTGCCGTCACACAAAGCAAGTCTACTCCATCGTTGCCCAGGCGATTCGGGAGTGTGAAACATGGCCGCTCCGCCGACGCCCTTACCACTAAATCCGGCTACCAGTCCGACTCGGCTACAGTCAAGTCCAAGACCAAGCCTGAACCTGTGAACAAACCTGCCGCGCCTCAAACGGACAAAAAGTCGTCCACTGGACTCTCCGTGGCAGAAAGGCTCGAAGAGAAAATCCGCCAGAGACAAGAACTTCGTGCCAAGGGAGGCTCAAGCGATGTGCCGAAGACGCCTAGTCCCCCGTCTACTGATCAACCCAGTGTCCCGGTTGAACTTCCCGCGGAGCCATCCATGACCCCTGCTGTCACTGCAACGCCGAAGAGCACCGCTCCAAAAACCCGTCCTAGGTCCACGTCGACGCCCAAGGAGCCAGCTACTGACCGCCGTGCGGATGAACATGAGGCGTCCTCCTCAGCTGCAGCCCCGGCACCACAACTTCCACCACGTCCGGGATTGGCCACTAAGCCAGCAGGCCGATCAATCTCAAGCGACAAACCTCAGTCAACCGCTCAGCTGCCAGCCCGGCGGGCCGTATCTTTCCTGGATGACGTGCCGCAGAGGTCCTCGTCGCTCCCACGGACTCCCGAAGATATTCCTGAGCCACCACCACTACCACGCCGACGGAGCTCCTCACAGGACGCTGTTCGCCATCGAAGTTCATCGCAGGATGCTGTCCGTCAAACATCGCCCAAACGGCCGTTTTTCCTCCCGCCCTGCCCCAGATCGACTCCCATCGCCGGATACCAGGACTGGCACACGGTCAAGGGACTACCTCATTTGAATATTTGCCCGTCATGCATGAAGCAAATGCGCAAGTCGGAGTTCCGCGACCATTTCGTCCTGGCCAGTCCCCGATCCCGTGGAGAGAAAATCCGCTGCTCCATGAGCGAGCCCTGGACCCGACTGGCGTGGATGCAGACGCTCAAGAAGCAGCTAGATCACCTCGAACTGCTGCACCAAATTACGCGGCCACCCCTCAGCATCAAGCCGTGCCCGGGACGCATTATCACCGAGCAGCACTGGTACCGAATTGTGGACCCGGAAACGAACATGTACCTCCCGCAGTTCAATGTGTGCTCTGCATGCGTGCGGAACCTACGGGTCCTGATGCCGCAGCACCGGGACACCTTCAAGCGGAGCTCCACCAAACAGGAACGAGCCTGCGACTTTCTGACAGACAGCCCGCGGTTTGTCCGGTACATCGACTGCCTGGACATAGCGGCCAACCGCGCCGACCAGGAACATATGCTGCGTCCCGACGTAACCGAGTTCCTCTCGTACGCTCGACGCAAGGTAGTGCTGCGGGACTGTCGGCGGGACCGACGGATCCTCAGCACGTGGCACTACATGCCGCAACTGCCAGAGCTGACAGTGTGCGAGGACTGCTACGATGACGTGGTGTGGCCGTTGGTCCGGGCCAAACATCCCATCGCGCGCAAGTTCTCGACGTCCATGCGACTGCTCCCTGGCGACGGACCATCTCGGTGCCGCGAAGCAAGCTGTCAGCTGTACTCCCCGCGCATGCGCGCCAAGTTCGCAGAGGCGGTACAGTCGAACGACCTGATGTATCTGAAGCAGGTGGCGCTGCGCCGGCGCGACGCCGAGCAACGCTACCGGGACCGGGAGGAGGAATTGCTGGAAGACGCGAGTCGAGGATACGACGTGGAGGGAGAGATGCGGCGCAACGTGGAGGAATGGAAGCGAAACGAGTAGTTCAATACCATGTATTTCTTTGTTCGTGTGTGTGTGATTTTGTCAGGAACCCGCCTGTATGTTAGTGTTGATGATACCTGTACACCTGATATCCAATCCAATCAATCAATCAACCTCCTTCCCCCCATCACTAGAACCACCACCACCAGCATTATTAGCAGCATCAACAATCCCCATCGCCTCGCCCAACCCAACAATCCTAAACCCCCTATCCCTCAAAACCGGCAACACCCTCCTCAACCCCTCAACCGTCCAACTCCTCCGATCATGCATCACAACAATACTCCCCTCCCTAACCAAACTCCTCACATGCCACGCATTCACCCCCGCCCACCCAATCTGCGCATCATGCGGATACACACTCCCAAGCACAATCCTATACCCAAGCCCCCTTACCAGCTCCCTCATCCACCCGGAGAAGAACCCCGACCCAGGTCTAAACCACTTCCGCACCACCCCCCTCCCATCCCTCGGCCGTTCCACCCCAACCTCCTCATACACCCTCGCAATCACCCCCTCCACCTCCTGCATCTCCTGCTCCAGCACCTCCCTCCCCAGCGACACAGATGGCTCGTCGTGCATCGCGTGGTTCCCTAGTTCCATCCCGCTCTTCACTAGCGTGTGTAAGATCCCCTCCCGGCCGGGGATCTGTGACCCGATGAGGAAGAATGTCGCCCGCGCGTTGTATTCTTGGAGTACGTGTAGGATGTCGAGGGTGTAGGCGCTGGGGGAGTCGTCGATGGTTAGGGCGATGAGTTTCTCTTTCGGTGCTTCTTTTCCTCCTGTATTTTGTTTGCTTTTGGGATTGGGGTTGGGAAGTCGTGGTATCTCCCATAATGTATCCGGGTACTTCTCCGCCATAGAGCGGATTAGGGCGTGCGGTGGTCGGTAGATTATGTATAGGGGGAGGAGGGCGAGGAGGATGAGCAGGAGGATGAGCAATGGGAGGAGCATGGTTAGGGTGCGGGTGCGGCGGTGTCGGGAGCGGAGGTGTGGGATGCGTGCGATGAGGGTTGTGAATGGGATGGCGAGGACGCGGAGGGGGAAGAGGAGGAGGGAGGTTGGGTGCAGGCGGGGCATGCTTTGCTTTGCTTTTCTTTGCTTTGCTTGTGCTTTGGGTGGGTGGTTCTTTGGGTATGTGGTGAGGATGGTGTGCGGAGGTGAGTTGGGGTGCGGTTGTTGTTGTGTGTAGTATTTGTGGGTGGGGGGTGGAAGGCCGGTGTAGCGAGTGGATGGTGTCAGGCCATGGTGAATGTGTGTCTGTGGAGGAATATCAAGGAGAGTTAATGTAAGCGTAATGTGTTCGACGATGTGATTTGGTGAGGAGGTTGAAATTGGGGAAATGTCAGGAGGCGGAGCGGAGGTATGCGGCGATCCCGTTGGAGCTTGTCTGGTATGTATGTAAGGGATCTAGACCTTGCTGGGGTAGATACGACAAGAAGATGGAGTTTGGATATGCAATACAATATTCTGCCATAATATATCTGCTATGTAACTAGGTATTATCCCACTAATCCCACCACCTCTCCAGGCCATTTCTTCCCCCATACAATCGCCCGCGGTGGCACGCGACCCCCAACCGGCGCCAGCACTCGGATCTTACCCTTCTCCGCGTCCACGTCCGCCACGTACAGGAAGCCCATGATGCTGGCATCGCGCACATCCGCCGGGCTGGCCGTCGAGCTTGCATGTGTGATGGCCAGCAGCGAATTAGCCAGCGCTGTCGGCGCAGGAGGTAGCACCTTCTTCAGTGGCACGTTGGACGACCCAGCCGGCGTCACCGTCTCCTTCACCGGTCCAGCAATCCCAGGCAGCGTCGGTGCCACCGGGGTCTCTTCCTGTGGAGTCTGTCCCAGGTCCACGTCGTTGCTTCCACCGGGGAGGAAGGCATTGCCGGTACCCAGCTGCGACGGGTCGTACTCATCTTCATCCTCCTCTGCCGAGGCGATGGTGTAGTTGTAGACCGCTAAAGCGCCAAAGTCCAGCTGTTGCGCATGCGGCGACAACGTAACATTCGTCGATGACGACGACGCAGACAGTGACAGCGCTGCTGATGCTGTTGAAGGAATTGGGTTGCCGAAGAAGTATGTCCGGATCTGCGACTCGCTGACAGCCTTCATGAACGCCGCATCGCGATCAACACAACCTCCGGACTTGGACAGCTTGATCACCGAAATGCGCTCATCCGACGCCGCTGCAGACGCACTGGCCGTAGGCTTGTTATCAAAGTTCTTCATCATTATGCTGTACAGTCGCTCGGAGCCAATAACCAGAATCGTCGTAACTGTGCCAAATATGTCAGCGCATACACCCTCACCAGGATCAAAGAAAAACTCACTCGCAAACTCCGTCACAATATGATTAATCATCTCGACATTTCCAGCCTTACTCTGACTCAAAATCCCCGGCGTATCCACAATAATCCCCGTCTCTCTAGCATCCTCATCCTCGGCCATCCTCCCTGTCACCGACAGTGCCAACCTCGACACGATAGACTTATACACCGACCCATCGGCCTCCAACGGATTCTGCATCGGATAGAAATACACCAAAGGCAATTTCACTGGCACCGCACTCGGCCCGGACATAGGACTACTTCCCCAGCCTTCCTCAACATCAATCATCGTCCGGAACGCCGTAGCCGTCAACGTCCCCGGAACACTCAACATTCCCTCCGTAGGATCCAAATTCACCACCAGCGGCTGCCGGCCCACCTTAGTCGCATACGCCGTCAAGATCTTCGAAAGACTCGTCTTGCCCGCATCTTCAGGGCCGAGAATCAGTACCCGCGGACCATCCTTTCCCGTCGCCTTGGCCTCCTGTCGTAGGGTCTCCAGCGCAAAATGCACGTTCGCATATTCAATCATCGGTGTTTCCTCAGCCACGTACTCGCTCTGGCAACCGCCCGCGCCGAGTCCGCGCGTCGCTGTTCCATTCGTACCGCCTGGGGCGAGACTGTCCAGGCCGGTGATGGCCTCTCCGGCGCTGACTTCTAGCGTGCATCCATGCCAGGTGTAGATTGCTGCTTTGGTGCCGGAGAAGGTGTAGGTTTGGGAGGGGGCTAGTTCGGTACCGAAGAGTTCGGCGGTTCCGGCTAAGAGCTAGTTCTCCAGGTGGTAGATATGTCAGTCAGCTGTCTCTTTTTGTGAATTGGGGAGATATGGAGATTGCTTGAGGAGCGGGGGTTATGGTAGCTCACCTTTACGCGGACGGTCGTGCCAAAGGCGACTTCGAACCGCCACTCGGAGCCCTTGGAGAGGCTGATCTGAGAGGGCGGGGCGGGGGCGAACTCGCGGTTCGCCGAGGGTTGTGTTAGATCGAGACCGGGGAGCGACATGGCATCGCCTGGATAATTGGGTTCGTTATCTGGAGTGTGGTATGCGGACTGGAGTTTCTGGTAGAGCTCCGAACAGGCGGAGAGAATGACGATGTTTAGCCTGTTTGCAGGACGGAACCGTCCCGACTGGTTCGCGTCAGCAGGACATCTTACTACTATTATCTTTAAGATATCTATATTATACTTTAACTGCTACACGGAATACCTACTAGGGCAATGTTCAATTCATATTTACTGCATATCCATCATTTGCAAATCTACCTAACAATGACATAACTCCGAACACAATCCAGTCAAACCATCCCGATTGCATCACGACTCCAGGGTACAGCCCCGGTCCAAATGGTGTAGAACAGAAAATAGAAAAAGGAAAAGAAAACCACATTATAGAGGCGTATATCAGGTATCCAGGAGATAATAAGAAACGGCATAGATAATGAACGAAACGAACCCAAGGCTTTCCTCGATCGCCAGGACCTCACCGGCCAATCCCCCGTGCGAACCACATCACTCGCACCCAGACGGCATCATTAGTAAAGAAATATTCGCAGCCAATACGATACATCAAGAATCACTTCAATTGGGACTTAGGGATCGTGATGCGCTCGGGTGGATTGGCCAAAGCCTGAACTCGGATGAAATTCCAGAGTAGGGGCAAATTGTGAACGGATAAGGAACAGCTTCTGCTGTTTCTCCATTAAGCATCGTTCAAAACCATAGCAGTTGGGGAATAAGGGGGATATTTTCCAAAGGGGGTGGAATCGATGGCGGATTTGTCCAGACTTGAGCTGGAAGTGGGCAAGCCGACACGGCGCATAATCACGACAATTTTGCTTCCAGATTGGCTAGGGTGTTTAGAAGAAATACGGGATCGAGGCGCTGTAAATCAGGTTAGCAATATACTTGAAAGATTTGGCGTCATGCAAGACTTACGCAAGCGCAAAGGCAGCCGTAACGCCAACAAGAGCACGGTTCCGCACGCGCTCCTGCTTGAGCTTTTCCTCCAGAACCTTGGCCCTCTTCACACGGAGGGTCTTGGCTTCCTCATCTTCTTCCTCGTCATCGTCGCTGAGCACTTCCGTCTTGCGCTTCTGGGCTGCCTTGGCCGACGAGGGCTCCGCCGTCTCGGTCTGAAGCTTGACCGCCTCTTCTACCATTTCTTTCGCCTTGGCGATCATCTGCTCGGTATCGGCAGCAGACGGTGCCTCAGGAAGGCTGATAGGCATCTCAACGGAAACGGTGGTCTGGGAGGTTTTGGCCTCATCAACAGTCTCCGCGTTGGTCTCAACATCGACCTTGACCTTCTCACGTTCCTGCTCCTCCTTCTCGTCGGGCTCTTCCGCACGAGCAGCCGTCCTCTTCGCCTTGGATGCGGATGCCGGTTTCTTCGGGGTAGGAGCGGGCTTCTCGTCGCCGTCCACTTCAACGCTCTGATGAACGGTGCCGGTGACCGATTCCGACTCCACGGTGGAAGCCGTCAAGTCCAAAGAAGACTGAAGGCTGGCGTTGGCAGCACTAGTCGCCGCAGCGTTGGCCTCTTTCATGGCGCGAGTCTGGCGGGGCTTACGCGGGGAGGTCGACTTCTTGCTTGGAGAAGCAGACCGTCCCCTACGGAGGCGTGGTGCAGTGAGAATGGCCGGGGCTTCGATCGGCGGCAAATCAAACCGAGGTGGCGGGGTAATTTGCTTCTTCGCGGACGAGGGGCTTTGAACGATGTCGGTAGGATCGAGAAGGGCCCTAACCCAGTCGTACATTTGATACTCCTTTGCCAACTCAAGGGCTGAAAGTAATCAGAACAATGTTCATATCTGCTGAAGTGTGATACTTACCAAGCAGAGGCGAGATCCAAACATTGCCGGCGATCTCGTCTTCGCTAGTCTCTGTCCGGGTCTTCAGATACTCCCGCTCAGACCGTTCTTCATCGAGCTTTGCCCAAGGGAAGGCAATCTTGAACATTCCAGTAGCACTGACAAATCCATCTTTGCTACGTCTCTATAGCGACAGGTCAACAACCATTCTATGACATCACGTTTCATTCATTCTCGGCCATCCTTACCATCAAAAAGTAAGTTTCGGGATGCTGTTGAGGCGAGTGTGAGGGGAAAATCTCAGAGCCCTTGAGGTCTCTAGGCAGCGGCGCGCGCAAGTGTGCATACTCGAAGGGGCCGAGGTTTTCAGGCTTTGTCGCATTTGACGTGCCAACCTGGGTGGGTTTCACGGCGAGGTTGGTCTTTCCCAGACGACGGCGCGAAAGAAGTTCATCGTCTGATGTCGCAGGAGGTAGAAGGAGACAGATTAGTCTGCGCACGCTTTGGTGGAGATATCGGCATGCCACGATCGAGTCTGAGCTCGGGCGCTAGCTGGAGTAGTAACTTACAAGCAGGAGCCACGTCCGCAAGGATGAGAGGGTTGTTTTTCTTCGGCAATGAGCGCACCATGATGAATGATCAGGCTCGCGAGCAGGGTCAATGGAGAAGCGAGGGGTATCGGATGAGGGTTGGTGATGAGAGAAGATGCGTCGCCAAAACGGCGGCCACGTTGCAGGCGCGTCTGTCGGCGCTCTCCAGGCGAGGTAGGTCGCGAAAGCAAACACGGCACCACAAGAGGGCGCACAGAGACAAACACCGCGGGTTGAGATGAGCGGGTGATGGATAGGAACGCTCAGGCAGAGAGCCGCGACGACCCAGGTGATAATGGAATGGAAGTCAGGGCGCGGGTTCGATAAGCAGGATCAAAGAAATGCGTAGGGGAAGGAAAATAATCAGGGAATCGAAAGCAAATTGGGGAGGGCGATTGATTCCCACCGTGACCGGCTGTGACCGTCTGGGAATCCCCACAGTACCGCGCTACTGTGACACCACTGCAGCAGTGAACCAATAATAATTTTAGCTCTTGGTGGGGCAAGCCAAAACAGCAAGTATCTGCGGTGCCGGCCCATCCCCCGGTATCTGTTGTGACGTGTTTGGCTCATCATGGTATCGCTGCCTTGACGCCTCACCGCTGCCGGTTGTCCCCGTGACGCCCATCCATTATGATTTTTGTTGTTTCGGGTTCCTTGTAATGGGTCCCATGGCTGCGGTTCGCGTAAGGTATTTACTTAATCTACTTATTCTACCAGAAGAACCTTCCTTTACTGGTTCAAGCCCAAGGCAATGATTCAATCGTATTGAAATTAATTCATGAATTTGTATTAGGTGCTGAGTTGGGCCACCCGCATACACCATGCATAATGCCTATGCGCAATATGCCGTGAGTCGGACATTCGGGCAACTTGGGTTTGGTGCATTCGGGGCACTGGATTCGAATGAAACACGCCCACCATCATGTCTGCAGAGCATGAAACAGCTTAACCACTGGCTTAGTATTTCTTCCAATTGCTGAAGCAATATTTCTAAATGAGTAATTAGTACTACTAGTAGTAACCTGAGCAGTCGAACTCCGGACTTGTCTAAGACATATTATTGAACTAGCAAGTAGTTAGTAGTATACCAGTGATATAAATAACCTAACTACTATGGCCATTCATATGATAGTGAGGTAGCTCAGCCCAGCCACTACTAGTATCATTAGGTACATCTTGAAGCACATTGGATAATAATAGTAGAGCCTCAATCGAGTTGGATGAATTAAGTACAGCACGCAAACCCACCATCTCTCGCCCAATCGTCAGAGTCAGACTTCATCACCGGGAATTAGGCGTGGATGAGGAAATAAGCTACTGTCAATTGCACGGCAGCCATCCGGATAAAGAGGCTTAAACTGAGCAGATGAATGGATAGTTAACAAGCATCTATAAGAGTATTTCCAAGATAGTATCCCATCCAAACCAATCGAACCCGAGCTAAAAATTCACCTCCAAGTGCAGTTAATACTCAATGGTAGATACCAGACTGTAGTAGCAGTTCTATGACATCTCATCTCCGGCATTCCATCCAGGGAGATGGACCTCGGTGTTTGTATAACAACCTAGCATGGTCTCATTTCTCGTCAGGATCGTGAGAGTCAAAAGAAGGATCAAGATCCCCAAATTATCATCCGTTCCAAAAATACCCATTGCGTGGCCTGTTCCATGGATTGCTCTGGCTCCCCTTAATCTTTCGGCGGACACCAGGCAAGAAGAAGGTCTGGTCTGGCCCATCCACTTCCATCCACTCCCATCCAACTCCTCCACCGCCTTTCTACCCCCCCACTTGTTACTTTAGTCCACTGCTTCCACTCCAAAACATCCCTAAACAATTCTCTCCTCAGCAGTTTCCTGTATTCCTATCGTCTGGTACGTGATGTGCGATGTTCCTTAGTCTCCTCTGACGAAGACTCACCTTTTCCTAGTCTATATATCCCGTTTGCGAGGATCAATATCAGCATTTTCCTTCCCATTTCCCCCCTATCTCCAAATACCCCACCAACAACAATAATCATGCCCGAGCACGAAGAAGATCTCGTTGCCTCCCAGACCGAGGGTTTCAAGGTCGGAGAGAAGAAGACCATTGAAGAGTACCAGAACCTTGGTATGTGCTATCTACGCTCGCCTGCCCCTCTCCCTGGGAATCCGATACCCCTCCCACTCCCCGTGGTAGTAGCCTCGTGGCATCCAACATCGCCGCCGCCCCCTTGCTTGCTGCTCCAGTCCCGTCAAATGTACATCGCAAGCATTCCTGACACTCCACCGTGGAAAATTGGAGATCGTGTCTCTTGCATAACCCTATTCTCTCCATTGAAACCATCCACCCGCCTTGATTCTGTCTAATTCAGAACATTCACAGACGCGAACGACGAGTCTCTCAACCGCTGGAAGGCCTCCCTGGGTCTGGCCACTGGAACTCCCATTGGCGACCCCAATGACCCCAGAAAGTGCATCATCAAGTCTCTTGCCCTGGAGGTGGAGGGACGCCCCGATGTTGTGATTGACCTGTCTACTCCCAATGCGCTCGAGACCCTCAAGGACAAGCCCTTCACGATCAAGGAGGGTGCCACCTTCCACATCAAGGTCGTCTTCCAGGTGCACCATGAGGTTCTGAGCGGTCTCAAGTACCTTCAGGTGGTGAAGCGCAAGGGTATCAGAGTTAGCAAGGACGAGGAGATGCTGGTAAGTGCTCTAATCTCGACGCGCGTGGTAGGATGTAAACCATGTACTCACTCGCTTATAGGGAAGCTACGCCCCCAGCACCACCGACAAGCCCGTTTACGAGAAGAAGTGTAAGCCAGAACCCTCTACAAAAAAAGACCAAAAATAGAGACATGGCAGTAACTAACTCAACCCAGTCAACGCCGAGGAAGCCCCCTCGGGCATGATGTTCCGTGGCCACTACAACGCCGTGTCCAAGTTCGTCGACGACGACAACCACACCCACCTCCAGTTCGAGTGGTCCTTCGACATCGCCAAGGACTGGTAGAAAGAATGAAATGAATTTTGTCGTTTAGAAATAGTCAGTCGGACTGGCTCTGCTTTCTGGCTTTTCCCATCACAACTTTCTTTCTCTCTTTCTTTTCCACCCTCTCATATATGAAACTATGAACTGTTTACCCTGCCTACCCATATCATACTCCATGAGAAGCGCAAGCACATCACACCATATCCCTGCCTTTTCTTCGCAGTTTTACTAGCGTTGGACCTACCTACCTATCCGCATCTTACTATTGTCCGAGTTCTGGAATACAATATTAGATTTTACAACTCTTTTATTGTCTGCAAGGTTTTTCTTGATGAATGGCCTTGAGTATTCTGAGATTAGAATCGCCCAATCTACTACATCCCGATAACCGCATACCATGCATACATACTAAGGGCCGTTTTGCGTGCGGCCCGGCCCGGTCCTATCCTGTCCTGGGCCTTTTTCTTTTTTCTGTTTCTCCCCTCTGGGAACCGACAAATCCTGTGTGACTAACTAATTTTCTAAATTTTCTAACTGCATCTTGCTGTCGTACATCGCACCATGGGATATTTGTCTATAAATGCCTGTGATATTTACCAAACTCCCCAAGAAGATCCATGAATGATGTGTAAGAGGATGTGGGTTTGAAAAAATAGACACAAGAAAAGAAAGGGAAAGAAGCAAAAACAACAGCAAAAAAGCAACCTCAGGCAAAAAAAGTAAAAAGAATCGAGAAAAAAAGAAAACAGAAAGGAAAAAGATAAGAAGGGTATCACAGAAAGTAGTCAATCACCGGACTCTGGCCATCCTTGTTCTGCTGCGCCTGCTGCTCGCCCCGATGGATATCATTTTCCGGCGCGGCGTCAAAAATATTGAAATACCGTTCGCCTGTATCACTGACCTCCAGGACACTAGCTAGGTTTCCGCACCGGTAACAGTAATTCGGTGCACTCCAGACCGTACTGAGCCGGTCATCGTAGAGAACTTGATAACCCTCCTGACACAGCTGGTGAGCCCGTAGGATATGCGACATGCTGTTGACCTCGAGGAATTTGCGGACCACCTGCGCACCGAACGTATAGCCCGCTCCACGCGGCGACAGGGAGAATTCATCCCGTTCGGTGTCGGGATCCGACCAAACTAGATCAGCCATGGGACCTTCGTGTGGGATTTCGCGGAACCGGTCGATGATTTTGATTTGGTCGATGGAGTGGATGGATGGGGATAGGCCGCCGTGGACGCAGAAGATCTGGTCATTGATGACCACGCTGAGGGTCAGGAAGTCGAACATATCCGTGAAGTAATGCCAGACGTTGGCATTGCCGTATTTGCGCGCGCATTCCGTGTAGAATCCGTATGATTGCGTTACACCACGCGACTCGTGATTGCCGCGGATAAGATGGACGCGCTGGGGGTATCGCAGTTTCAAGCACACGAGGAGGGAGATGGTCTCCACGCTGAACAAGCCTCGATCCACGTAGTCGCCTGTTTGAATTGGAAGAAAGAACGTCGGTCAGCACTCATTCACACATAAACCGTATTCTGTCTGGGGATCGGCACGCCTTTTCTTGTTGCTGCCCATTACCCTTCTTTCCCCGCCAACCACCAGTATGATATCACGCGGAATACTAACCAAGAAACAAGTAATTTGTATTGGGACAGAATCCTCCGATCTTGAATATCTCAATCATGTCGAAGAACTGTCCGTGGATATCTCCGACCACCGTGACCGGAGCCGCAATGTGGACGACATTGCTCTCTTTCATCAACAATTCCTTCGCCTTGGCGCATATCGCTTCGATCACCGAGTCTGCCAGCAACTCTTTCCGGTAGAGTCTCTCAATGCACTCGTCGAGGTCGATACTAGCTGATCCAATGGTGAGGGGCCGCACAGGACGAGTAGAGGAAAGAATGCTTACCTGGTAATCCAGGCATTTCGGAGCAGATATATTAATCAACTCAGGAGATTCAAAGATATCTGTATATTCATGCAGCACGCAACGTTCAATTGCGCTCAATAATAGGAAATGGAGGCTCAGAAGTCCACCGTAAGTCGTGTACAGGTTCCCAAAAAGAAGGAGAAATGATCAACGGCTGGAAAACACCGCTTTTATAAGCGGAGAGTGAATAGTAGTCGTTCCGGTTCGCGAAGGGATATGTTTGTGTGAGAGGTTCCTGCAGTAGCTCGCATCATGGCCAACGGCACACAGTACGCAGGAGCAGGAGTGAGCGTCTCACAGGGGGGGACCTGTGACCGGTGAGGGAAGAGCAGGGTCTAGACGCGGGTTCGGAGGGGTGTGAGTATAATGTCGGAGAGCTTGCGCTGCACTTAATCCATATTTCGGAAAGACTCTGTACTTCTAACAGATGGGGATGAAGCAAACCAGGATTATCGACAGGCACAAAGCCCATTCAACCCGCCGAGGGATTCCTGGCCACATTCTGCCGGGTGGCACCGCCTGCTGTTCCGTCCGCATCATCGATGAAGTCTGGCGGTTGGGGGTGTGAATATCCATACATCGCTTGTCTCGGTGGGTTTGCCAGCAACTAACTGTCAGAATACTACATTATGCATAATGTCTTTGAGATCTGGTGCCCTGGAGGTGCGAAAGATCTCCTGCCAGCACCCATTCTCTGTACTAGAGTGAAGTATTTGAATACAGAGTGCAGGCCGTCACATCTAGAATTGGAAGTATTCAAGTTGGTCTATGCAGCTAATCTGTACATATGCTCTTCCCATCTCTCCAATTGGGTATCACTGCTTCAAGAGACCTGCACTCTGCCCCTGCTCTTCTTCATCCGTCTCATATTCTTCATCTGTTTCTCCCTCTTCGTCCGTTTCCTCGTCCGTCACTTCCTCGTATTCAGAGTCGGTTACCTCTTCCTCTGTTTCTGTCTCTTCCTCAGTCTCCGTCTCGGGCTCCTCAAGCCACTGGTCGAGTGACTTCCCCTTCGCTGAGGAGACACCCGCTACTCCGCGACCATCCCGTTGCCTGCCTGAAGTTGCAGCGGTGGTTTCATGCTCCTTGAGGGCTCGATCAAGCCGCTCGCCCGCAGTCAATGAGGACTTTTCTACCACGTTTGGTTTAATATCGTTCTCTCGGAGGCGTGGGTCGGGCTCTTGTCCGGACTCAACCCATTCAGGGAGGCTTTGATAGCCATTCAGGCCAAGCATTCCAGCGTCGGGACCAACGACGAGGGTCGAGGAGCCAATCAGCAGATCCTTGCGTGTTTCTGACGGGCTTGGGGCGTGTGGTACGGGCTTTGGGGCAAGTAGGAGCAGATTAGCCAGTTGTGTAGAAGAAGGAGAAGCGAGCAAAGCCTTGTATAGGCGGGCACGGTCGCGGAGATCGTAGGAAGGATCATATCGAGCAAGGAGAAGAAGGTACCGCCAGAGCAGCGTCATCCTATCTTCTTCAGGTTCATCACTCTGTGGTTTCTCGTCGCCTGAATCCTCTTTCCGCTCCTCTTCGTTCTCCGTCCACTCGTTGACGATCTTCTCAGGCTTGGGTTCTGGTGGTGGCACCTCCTTTGGAGGGTTTCGCAACAGATGATGCAAATATACCTTAGCACCCAGGAGGATGATCTGCTGCTTAACGGCCTCGGATTCACTTGCAAAGTCTTGTACCAGAATGCGCAGGATATCGGCCGCAATATTTCTCTCAGGCGCGACACCAGCAAATTCTCCGACCAGCCAAACAATGGTTGCTCTGGCATCGGGATTCTTTGTTAATCCCAAATGCTTGACAAGCTGAATCACTGTCTTCTCGTGTGAAGGTGGGTCCTGCTGAATGAGGTGTCTAATAACGGTCAACGACTCTGAAACAAGATTGTCGTCTAGACTCGTAACTTGGCTCAAAAGGACGCGGAGACAATGATCAGCACTTCGAGGTTCACTCTGTGCGCAGCGCCCTATAGCACGCACGCTTTCTCGTACTAGGTCTGGGTCTGAGCTCTGAGAAAAGTGTTCCAGTTCGCTGAGGATCACGCCCTTCAAGTGCAGCCCGCAGTGGGGAAAGAGTAAAGTGAGTACTTCCAGCTTGAGGCGCCAGATATGAGGCGGATCTACCGCGTGGACCAGGAAGTGCGTAGTGTATTTCGTAAACGGCTTGGGGTGTTTTAGGGCAACGGCGACAATGTTATATAGCGCAACGTGCTGCGTATCCTGTGGGCTCCGAACCAGCGCAACTAGAGGACCAACGGCGGCATCGAGATACTCTGGAGTGCCGAGGTAAAGGAAACACCGGACAACGCCAACAATCACAGCGGAGTTGCGATTTTGCAGCAACAGCTTGCAAGTACGTAAGAAGAACTCAAGATCAGGATCCAGTACAAGCACTTCATGCTCGTTATCATCACAATTGCTCTCCGGCGCCTTATCGTCCTCGTAGAAGCCTTCAGAAACTGCCTGTTTACCTTTCTGGACCTTGCGAGGGAAGCACTTCCTGGCGTAAAAGGCCAGAAGACGCAGTGTTGAGAGTTGGCTCCATTCGTCCATGTCGACGAGCTTCTTGACAAGGCTTCGGTAATGCTTATGGATGAGGTCGATTCTGTCCGGGCAAACATCTAGGAAAGCGGCGACAGCAGGCCCGAGGACAAAGTACTGGCTATCACCAAGCAAAGTAGTAAGATACCCAATCAGCTGAGGGAGTGTACTCGGGTCCAGGCGATAACACTTTGGGATTGCCAGTGCTGCGGCTTTGCGAACATGTGGGCTCATGTCGCCGCAGCCTCTTTTGATTGCAAGGGACACAATTTGACTGATGACTGGTACTCTGATTCCAGACATTGTACGAAGCGCCATAGCCCGCGAGTGGGGGTTCTGATCGGTAAGCGACTTTTGGATGGCATTGATAGATAGGAGCGCAAGGTCCGGTTCCGCCTCCGCATGATGGACCAAATAGATGTAGACCAACTTCTTGACCTCAAGATTCGAACTAGCCACGTTTTTGACCACGGCCGAGAAGAAAGGAAGGGAGGGTTCGGATCGGTACATCAACTATATGGCGCAAAACCACAAGAGCGTCAGACAATGGATTCTTGCATTTAGGCATCTCGGGGCCTTACCGTAATCACCCGGCGCATGCCATCCAGGACCTCCCGGTCATTCCGACTATCCAGAAGCTTTTTGATGTGAGCAGTAGCCAGATTCCGAGACGATAAGCCCGTGCTAGACCCCTTACTCAGGGCTGCTGACTGGGCTGCTTCGAGGGTGAGCTCACGAGCTGCTCGCACGATCAGTTAGTTGATTTGTCCAGATGCGGAGGACAATTGGCGAGCAACTGTCCGCGGTGACATTACCTGTTTCCAGCATCGTGGATATTCTGGAAATGGTCTCCATTTTGGCCCTGAGGTCCTTCGCATAGACGCAACAACAGATCAGACCTGGGGAGGGGGTGTCCCTAATAGAGGGGAGCTGGAGGAAGTTGGGAGTTCCGCGGCGGCGGGCGGGCAGCTGACATGACGATTGGGTAACGTGCTTAACTACGGCTGCTTTCCATCATCCGCTAATCCCACTTGCTATCTCGGTAACCATCACCAAAGCAGGAGATTAGGAGACCCTATTATTGTTATTGTTCACCCCCCTAATTTATCCTTCGTATCAATGCTATTTAATTTCTACATAAATCTACTATTATGATATCTGCAGTAAACAACCAGATGTCTCGACGGCCTTCGGTGGGAGAGGCTCATGACTTGCGGCGTCATGTCTGTGTGACTGAGAGTCGTGCTAGAGCATGACAACTCCATTTGTTGCTTTTACGCCGTGTTTTGATATGGAGGAAGCAATATGCTGGATAGAGATGACGTGATCAGCGAAGTCTAGCAAAACTTGCTCGTACATCAACACCAGGTGATGGGTCATGGCCACGAAGTTGGCTAATTGGCTCCTATCCATAGAACGGTAGAGTAGGATGACTCCTTTATCCCAGACATCTTAGTCTACATCATTCAAACCCTCGCCATCGTGAATGATCCCTTCACAATCTTCACTTTACTTGTGATACTAGGCACGCTGCTCGCCGTTCCCACGACGGACTCTCGTGGCACAGCATCATCGTCTCTGATCTGGGTTTCCTGCCTGAGAGGATCGCCGTCAGCATCAGCGCTTTCTAGCTGTGATACCTTCCATGCTCTTACAAGTCCAAGGCAAATACATGCTGCCATGAACATGAAGCCGACAAATATCTGGGCATGCAGGAAGTTAGTTCCATTGTCGGTGCGAAGCCAAAGAGCGATCGGTTCAGCAAATGTGCTCGGGATGACGACTGAAAGCCAGAAGATCGACAACGCAGATGGTAGGAGTTGTAATCCCACAACCTCCGCGCCAACTGGAGCTACAGTAGTCGTGAAGGTCGCAGCAAAAGGACCGCTAATCAACGCATAGAAGATAAGGACACCGAAATTTTTGGCAAAGACCCAGATGACGAGAGAAAACAGGCCAGCCAAGAAGGTACAAGCGAGGGCGGTGTTCAGCCGTCCAAAGCTATCGCTGACGTACCCTATAACAGGTCGTCCAAGGCCTCCTCCAAGATTGAACATGGCACCAACAATTGAGCCTTGAGATGCGGTCAGGCCTACGGTGGTTGCATAGTCGGGAATGGAGAACAGAAGGGCCACGTAGCCCAAGACGCTAAAGCAACCCCAGGCCAAAGTGAGCGGGAATTCTGGTCTTCTTAAAAGCTCTGTATGGAAGGCGATTTGAACAGCTCCAATGGCCTTGTTTCGATCCCTTACAATGATAGCAGAGAAGCCGCACGCAGCAGCGGAGACGATCGCCAGGATGCGGAAAGCCCAGCCAATGCCCCATCTCTGAATCATGGCACCTGTAGCCAATGAATAGACAAGGCCTCCGATTCCCGATCCAGCCGTTGCAATACCATTGGCAAGGGACCGACGGCGGGTGAACCACTGGGGAATGATGCCAACAGTAGCACTGAACTACATGCCCATGCCAAATCCAAAGCACAGAGCCTGACTGAGGAACAATTGCCAAACCTGGCCCGCCCATGACGCTCCCAACAATGCCGCAGTCTGCAATGTGATCCCAATCATCAAGGTAACTCGTGTACCCCACATTCGGGTCGTGATTGTTGCGACTGGCGCGATGAATTGAGCCATACTGAGGGAGAGGCCTCCGACAAAGGCATAGTCGAGGTCTGATGCTCCTGGGAATGTATTTGTGTCCAGATAGTGGGCCAGAAAGACACCATAGGCCTATTTGCGACAAGAGTTAGCAAATATAGCCTTCTCTAGAAGACCATGAGTGAGGCCTTACACTGTTGATCCCCCAAGTATGAGCATTGACCAGAAAGACGCACAGCACACAGATCCAGCCATAACCACCGTCAACCTCTATGGGTGCTGATGATTGAGTC